ATATTATGTTTATATATATATTATACTCTCAACTTTCATTAATGATTAATGATGTGCAGAACTAGCCGGTCTGGAGAAGTTGCAAATGTTGGATTTGAGTGGGAATGGATTCAATGGCAGTGTTCAAGTAATCCAAGGTACGTACAAAAGCTCTTTTGGCAAAGTTTACTTCTAGGAAAAACGGCTTGCCGTCCCATGGGCCCCATCACACATTACTCCAGCCGAAGGTATATTAAGATTAATGCATATGTTATGTTAAAATTCTCCCAACATTCATTAATAATTTGTACAAGTGTTGGATTCGTGTTACAATGGTTTCAATTATGGCATTGCTCCAGCAATAATTACGTAATTAAGCGCCCATGCATCCATTTAGTGATGTTGCAAGTATAGACAAGGTTGCGAATCAGTCTTACATCCTGATGTTAAAATGATATATCCGACCAACAATTAGAGAATTTAATCCTTACAAGAAGCTTTTCTGCTTAATTAAGACATTGCCTTCTTTGATTTTATTTTGAATTACTAACCAATTTATTATCTTTATAATTAAGGGGTTTGAAGCATGGATTAGGTAGACGTACAGGGTATAGTCTTTACAAGGCTTAATTAGTATATTAGTTTAGCTGTGAGTAAGAATGATGTCAGGTTGTGTTGAGTGTTCCCTTGCTACTAATTAATTTGTAATTATTAATAGCTAAAGTATTTTCTATAAAATTAATGAAATGCTTCAATTCCATTGTTTACATGTATTTGGAACATGTACTAATAAGAATGAAGTCAAATATATACTTGTTAATTAATTAATCCTTTTTTGCTTCAACTATATTAATTCTTCCGTTTTCAGGTTTCTTGATGTATGTTTTTTCTCTTCATTCTATTTATACACTTTGCTTACATTTACATTGCTTTAATTTCGCAAAATGAATTTTATTAGTACATTAATTGTTTTGCATGACATATATATAACATTGAGGAAATGTAACTCTTTCAGGCTTCAAAAGTCTAGAAATTCTGAATCTGAGTAATAATCATTTCACCAACACTATTTTTACCTCCTTGGTTGCCCTCAAATCCCTCAAGAATCTGTCTCTCAGTGTTAACAAATTGGAAGGGAACTTTCCTGCTGAAGGTATATTGAATTCAGATGAGTCCCATATTATGTTTATATATATATTATACTCTCAACTTTCATTAATGATTAATGATGTGCAGAACTTGCCGGTCTGGAGAACTTGCAAATGTTGGATTTCTGTTCGAATAGATTCAATGGCAGTGCTCAAGCAATCCAAGGTACGTACAAAAGCTCTTTTGGCAAAGCTTACTTGTAAGGATCTTGGACGTGCATCCAATTACGTTGTATTGAAAAAGCCCTTCTATAAAGTCTGTGTGAAAAAAAAAAAAGAAAAGGAAAAACACTCCCAAACGCAGCTTTCATGTAAAGTGGAACATGCCATAAATGGCCACAATTTATATCCATTTTATTTAGAGATGGGCCCCATCACACCTTATTCCTGCCCAAGGTATATTAAGATTAATGCATATGTTATCTTAAATAATCTCGACCATAAAATTCATAAACTTGGGTTCTCTGTCTATTCTATTGATATATAATATTTTTTCCTTATTTTCTCCTAACATTCATTCATAATTTGTAGAAAGTAGGTGGTTGCAAGTGTTGGATTAGTGTTACAATAGTTTCAATTATGGCGTTGCTCCAGCAATAATTACGTAATTATTAGATATATTTTTGGCTGCTTTTAAATTATTTAACATATATATATAAACGTGTAGTTTGCGTTGACGTTTTCTGCTTTTATTTCAGGCCTCAAAAGGTTTAACAAGTTGGAGGAAATACACTTAGATGACAACAATTTTAACACAACGATTATACAGTATATTGGCCTGCTTGCACCGGTACTTAAGATATTGTATCTCAGTGAAAGTCCATTTATGAGTGGATCAATTACCAGTGAAGGTATGTCAATTGTAGATTCATTAATATATAATTGCTTGGATTATATTTTTCTAAATTAATGATATTAATTGAACTGTACTAATTATATATCATTGCAAACTACACCGGTAATTGCTTGGATATAGTACAGTCTTGTATATATATATATATCATTGATGAGTGGATCACTAATATTTTCTAAATTAATATTTTTCAATTTTTTTTTTTTTGCTTTATAGAGTTGGATACTTTGAGAAACTTGGAGCTATTAGATTTATCTTATTCTACGCTCAAGAACAAATTTCTCGAGAACATGGGGGGAATGATTTCTCTCAAGTTCTTATCAATTGCTTTCGCTTATGGACTCAATGGCACTCAACTACCACATAAAGGTAAGTTAATTATTGGCAAACCAAAAATCTTTTGATCTATTTTTGTGTCATTTCTTATGCTCTCTCTAAATAATACATGGTTAGTTATATACAGAATCATTATTTAATTTATATATATATATATATATATATATATATATATATATATTCTTTGAATCACCATGCAGGATTGTGCAAACTAAGGAACCTCCAGGAATTGGATCTTAAAGGCAATGATTTCGTGGGTAGTGTCAACCATTGTTTACGAAATCTCACATCCCTTCGCGCATTGGATCTTTCTCACAATCAATTTGAAGGAATCTTTGATACATCAATCATTGCTGGCCTCACTTCTCTTGAATACCTTTCTCTTTCACATAATCGCTTCCAAGGTTCATTTTCATTTCATTCCTTCGCTAACCTTTCCAAACTTGAGTCATTTGAATGTGAAGATAACGGGCTAATAGTTGAGGCCGACGACTATCCAACCTGGGTTCCATCCTTCCGATTGAAGTCTCTTGCCTTATCAGGCTTCACATTCAAAAATGATGCTTTCCCAAGTTTCCTCTACTACCAACATGAGTTGAGAGTAGTTCAACTCTCTAACAACAACTTAAGGGGGGAATTTCCCATTTGGTTGCTAGAAAACAATACCAAATTAGGCTATCTAAATCTAACGAATAACTCCTTTACAGGCCCTCTTGTTCTTCCTTCTCATCCGTGTTTAAATTTGTTTAGTTTGATCCTTTCTAACAATAACTTTTTTGGTTCAATCCCAACAAATATCGGTGTCATCTTTCCAAATTTGAGAATCTTAAAACTATCACAAAATTGTTTTGAAGGAAAAATTCCTCCATCAATCGGTAATATGGCTTGGTTACAGGTTCTAGATCTTTCCAATAATAATTTATCAGGTCAAATTCCAGAGCACTTGGTCACGGGATGCTCCATGTTAATGCTTTTCAAGTTGTCGTACAATAAATTGTATGGAAAAATACTTCCTACAATTACAAACATAACTAGTTTAACGTCATTATACCTGGATCACAATCTCTTTGGTGGAAATCTTTCAGATAGCTGGTTGCATGGTTCCCAGGAATTATCTGATTTAGATATCAGTTATAACAACATTTCCGGTCCACTACCTAGATGGTTGGGAAATTTATCATATCTTCAGTCTCTTGTTATGCGTAATAATCATCTTGAAGGATCAATTCCAAGTGAGTTTTGTCAACTACATYTGCTCAGATATTTGGATCTCTCTGAAAACGATATCCAGGGCTCGGTTCCTTCTTGCTTTAGCCCACAAGGTTTGGAACATGTGTATCTTCAGAAAAATAGGTTGGAAGGACCAATGCCAAATGCGTTCTCAAACATCACTTCCTTGGTGACATTGGACATTAGCGATAACCACATAAGTGGTGGAATTCCAGAATGGATTGGTGGGCTTTCATCTCTAAATGCCCTGCTTTTGAAAGGGAATCAATTTGAAGGTCAAATTCCACTTCAATTGTGCCAGTTGAAAAATCTCAACATAATGCAATTCTCTGACAACTTTCTCTCAGGTACGATACCTTCTTGCTTAAATAACATCCCATTTAATGGAGAATCAAGCTCATATAAAAGAAATTCAAAAGTTGAGCTTAATCCATTAAGTTATGGTGGTATATATACATATAACAGTATGTTATTTCAATTTGAATTTGGTTTCGACGATGAAGACATCATAGTGGAAGTAGAAGTGGAATTCAGAACAAAATTCCGGTCCGAAACTTACAAGGGTGTTGTTCTTGAGCTCATGTCTGGAATTGATCTCTCTTGCAACAAATTAGTAGGCAATATCCCACCTGAAATTGGAGATTTAAGTGATATTCGAGCATTAAACCTGTCGCACAACTATTTAAATGGGCAAATCCCACCAAGCTTTTCAAATCTGAGAAAAATAGAGAGTTTGGACCTTTCCTACAACAATTTGACAGGAATGATCCCTCTTCAGATGATTGAGCTAAACTCTTTGTCAATTTTCAATGTGGCTCATAACAACCTATCCGGTAGGACTCCAGAGAGAAAAGGACAATTTGCAACATTTGGGGAAACTAGCTATGAGGGCAACCCTCTTCTTTGTGGAGAACCCTTAAAGAAGAATAATTGCACAAATAGTTCCAAGGCACCACCATCTATGCAAATAACTCCTGATGATCCTGATGACATGGACATGAACACCTTTGTTGTAAGCTTTATAGCTTCTTATATAACAGTGTTGTTGGGTATGGTGATAGTCTTCTACATAAACCCCTATTGGCGACGAGTTTGGTTTTATCTAATTGATGTTTGTATTACCACTACTTACTACTTTGTTACGGACAATATCCACAAATTTTAACTTAGTGTTGTTTTCATTTTAGCTTTTTAAATATGTAGACAATATTTCTGTATTTCCATTCTTGTTTATTTAAATGGTAAATTACAAAGATTTCCCCTGTTCTATGGGGTCTGTGACAAAGACCCTCTTATACTTTGTTTTGCGACAAATCCCCCTGTTAAATTACTAAAATACCCCATTAAGAGAAAAACACTGGTTTTCTTCCCGGACCTTACGATACACGGACAGCAGCAAGTGGTAGTTGTTGCAGTGGTGGCGGACTTCCGTTGAAGTCCTCCCTCCCTCCCTCTCTCTCTCTTTCTCCCGATCTCTCTTCTTCCCCTTCCCTTTTCTCTCCTCCCCTTTCTTCTTTCCAATTTCCTCTGTTTTCCGTTCCTTGCAGACGGAGAACAGACAAAAAAGGAAATGCGATTTGAATGGTTTTGAGTGCGACCATATGCACCTGGACCCTGCCTTGTCAGTTCCCCCTCTAACATCTACTGCCGAGGCCTCAAAGTTAAAGACTGGTTTCGTAAATTCAGCTATCACATCGATGTTTGAATTCTTTGCAACTCTTGGGGATACCGTGCTTAGTCTGACAACAGGCTCTGTAGAATTTGAGGAAGAAAAAGAAATTTCCGTCCATTAGCTTCCTAATCGAGTTGGGAATGAATCCCTTTGAATGGGTCCTGGATCCACCAATCCAACTGTACGTTGCGGTAAAAGGCTAACAGTAATAAGTAGTCAAGGAGGAGTGCCTCGGCCTCCCCTGAATCGATTCACATTTGAATTTGAGAGTTGGTTACTTGGTTTTAACTCTTGCTCCAGAGGACCAGAATGACCATGATTACAAATGAAAAGAAAGAATGAGAAAAGAAATCAGATAGAGAAGAAGCAAAACTCAAGAAGACGTCCTCGCTTGAGAACGATTCCTCCACAGAACGATTCTGCAAGTCCTCGTTGACAGCAAGTCATCGTACCGTCAAAAACCCCCTGTACAATGCATTCACATAACCCGCTGCGGGTCGGCAGCGAGAGACCGAGCGCTCCTCTGAAGACCTGAGGCTTGTTGTAGCCTGTACCACCGAAACAGGGATTGGATAATTCTTCAATTTTACGTTCGATTCTTTCAATCTATCTGTTCCCTTTAAAAGTGAGAATGGAGAAGATAACAAGGTATAGAAATCAAAAACAGCATAATCGCAACTCAAAAACAGTGAGAAATCAAGAAAAGAATGAGGGATTTCACTTACATGAATCGTAAAATCCTCCCCGGCTGCTCGTGCCTCCGCCTGAATTCACTGCAGCCACCGCTGATTTTCAGGAATGGAGAAGATAACAGGGTATAGAGAGGGGAATTGGTGTCAAAGCCCTTGATGAGAAGAAATGGGCCCTGTACTTTGTTTTGTGGTTTTCGTCGTCGTGATGTTTCGCTTTCTTCGTCGGATGACGATTCAAGGAGCGAGGATTCCATGTCTGTTTATTCATCTGATTCGGAAGATGATTTTAGAGGCAGGAGGGCTCGCTCTCGGAATTAAATAGAAAATAATTGATATAGTAGGGTTCCAATCAGCTGAACCCTGTCGAGCCTTCCTCCGACGCCGCCAAGACGCCTGTCGTCTGTTGTCGGAACCCGTGAAGGACTTGTAGTTGACGAAGCCCGCTGTAACATACATGACCCCACAGAAATAGAGAAATAATTACACCACAAATGGCTTTTGGAAGTCTATTGGCCCGTCGGTAAAACTTGGATACATGACCCCAAGTGTTATTTCGTTGCTCCAAATAAGAATTCAGTTTGATGAAATGGAATTAACCAATTAACAATGGAATTAACCAACTAAAAGAAAATGAAATCATGTCATTTAGTCTAATATATGAAATGATTGTTGAAATAGATGCCTCTATATTTCTTGAATTCTATAACTAGATAAAAGTATTTCTTCATCAATTTCATCTGCAATTACACGCCTCTGCTATTAATATTTAGGAGGTTAAATCTATTTACAACATTTCTATTTAGTGGAGAAAATGCATAAAAGAAAGCACTTTTCCAATTATTATTTTTTGCGCTTATATTTACACAAGGATCACTAGAGAGATGCATGCTCAGCAACAGCCCTCTGAAATCTCATTAATTATAAACAACAAAATACTTTAGAAAAAGAAAAATTATTTAAAAAATCAAACTCGAATAATCTATAATCTAAATAAACATAAAAGTAGTGCAATTTAAATAAAAATTCTGAATACAGAAGACTTAACCAAAAGACAAAAGATAGAAAAACAGAAGAAATTATGAATGAAACCACTTGACGTTGCCATGTGACATTACTTTGTGATAGTAAGAAGTGCAAATACAAACATGCATGGTTCACGAAAATATAAAGTTGGTTTAACTTTGTATTAATAGATTTTGCATTCTTAAAAAAAGGTTTCGATTGTGATCACTTTTGTTTTACATTGATCAATTTTGAGTGCAAATTTTGCATCTAATTTACATTGCAAGCGTTCCCCCATTTTGAATGCAAATATGTCTTAGAATTCATAATTATTATTATTTTTAATGTACAAATGTATTATTACCAAATGCCTTCAAAAATTGAACTAGATTACAATCTTGCTTTGAATCAGGTTGGTCCAGAGATAACCTACCTATGGGTGACATTGCCTGCTAATTAAAAGGCTTTGAGTGTGGAATCAATAAGATTTAGGATCAAGAAATATGGAGATTTCACCACCAATTAATACAAGGGTCCATAAATTATAATTTCGTGTAATACATATTTGAAAGATTACCTAGTACCAAGGATTAAAATATCGATACGTTACACCAATACGGGGCGTATCATATCAGTATCAGGTTATACCGGCATAGAATACGCTACGACTGAAAATATACACTATCATATCAGTGTGTATCATGCAGCATCGACTGATGCAATTCAATATGGAAATGTATCGACCCTCGGTTTAACAACAAGCCAAATTCAATATAAAAAAGTGCTACTAGTGTAACTCAAACCTAAGGCCCCAACTCGTGTAATGCCTAAGAATGATGCATCTTTAACCACAGCCAACTTTTATTTCATGCCATTAAATGGAATACATTAACTTTTATTACATAATATCTACATAAAATCCCAACAACCATCATACATTTATCTTCAACAACTCCAATTACAAATTAAAAAGAATAAACCAATGGAATAAATAATCTATCAAATCCACATTTATATCAAAATTTTGATTTTTAATTTAAAAAATTTAAAAAATATTAATAATAGAATAATTATTTTAAGGACTTTTTGCAAAAAAATTGATCAAGTTTGGTCAATTGAAAATTTCAGTTACATTTTAGAAATAATAGCAAATTGAGTGAGCGGGAGAAAACATGAAGTTTTTAGGACAAAATTACCCTTTTGTTAAAAACAAAATCCACTAAATCCAAAAGGCATTCATGTTCCATTCGTTGAATTGGATTGGACCTGGTCCATATATAATAGACTCACATTGGATCGGACTGGCCAGTCCACTTGACACCCCTAATCTTACCTCACTTGAGTACTTCTCTTTCCTATAATCRTTTCCAAGGTTCATTTTCATTTAGTTCATTAGCTAACATTTCCAAACTCGAGGTGTTTCATTCTGTTGTAGAAACCAACTCTTCAACTTGGGTTCCAAGTTTCCAATTGAAGTCTCTCATTTTATCAAGTTTAGCATTCATAAATAGTTCCATTTCAAGCTTCTTCTACCATCAACATGACTTGCGAATAGTTCAATCTTTGACAGGCCCTCTTCTTCCACTTCATCCCTGTGTAAATATGTCTCAATTGTTTCTTTCTCATAGCAATTCTCTGGTTCGGTCCTAATAGATATCAGTGTTATCTTTCCAAACCTAGAAATAATTACTTAAATGGATTGGACCAACGTTTTAAAAAATGACTTGGAACTGGAATCGTTCTGGCCATTGGTTTCCAGGTCGACAGTTCGACCATCCAATCCGAATGGATGATCCATTCTAATAAAATAAATTAAAAAAGTAAAAAAATAATTAAAATTTAAAAACAACTAAAAACCGTTGAAAGGATCGATGGTTCGATCGCTTGGGTCAATGGGTCACTGACCGATTCAACGATTTTTGGTCAAGCACCAAATTTAGGGTAAAACGGAACCAATTGCCTAGATGGTTTCCAGGCAAAACGGTCCAACCATCCAGATCAACAGCGGTTCGAAAACCATGAACCCACATGCGAATTTTGTACCTAGACAACAAGTTCTTTACGGGAAACCTTCTTGATAACTTGCTGAATAGTTCTAATTATTTGCAAGAATTAGATGTCAGTCATAACTACATATATGGTCCTCTACCTGGATGGTTGGAAAATTTATCAAGACATATCTCTTGCCATGCCTAATAATTGTCTTGAAGGACTAGACCCACATGAACTATGGTAACTGGACCAACTTCAATTACTAGATAACAATCTTCATGGTTCAGTACCAAATTGTTTTAGTCCAAGTTCATTGCAACATGTACATCTTCAAAATAATGGGCTCAAAGGACCAATGTCAAAGGCGTTCTCTAATTGCTCCTCCTTGGTGACYCTGGATGTTAGTTATAACCACTTAACTGGTGCCATTCCAGAATGGATTGGTGGCCTTTCAAATTTAGGTGCTCTTCTCTTAGAAGGAAATCAATTTGAAGGTAGAATTCCTATCAAGTTGTGCCAGTTGCAGAGGCTTAGCATAATGGGCTTCTCCCACAACATTCTTTCTGGTCAGATACGTTCATGCTTCAACAACATAACATTTGCAAGGGAAAACGAACCATATGAAAGAAATTGGGAASTTTTCTTGTCTGGAATTGATCTTTCATGCAACTAATTAATAGGTCACWTCCCGTATGAAATTGGAGACATAAAGGGAATCCATGCATTGAACCTATCCCACAAGTATTTAAGTGGACATATCCCACTGTATATGAACCACAATCAAACTGAAAGTTCCTTTTTTTTTCATTTTGTGAAGAAAATTCTTTGTTCATTTCCACTGAGAAAATCTTTTTTTTTTCAAAATAATCTAGATGAAGTCCTTATTATGCTCAGTTTTGGAACCCCTACACAAACATGGTTCAAAATATAAATCCATAAAAATCAACATGAACACAGATTTTACATCAAACAATCATATTGTTAAACAAAATGTAATAAATGAGAAAATAATAACTAAGAAGTTGGGTGCAACCTGATTGTGCTCTTCCAACTCCTTCATTGTTTTTCTTACTCTTCTAGACGATTAAACATTAAAGTGGAAAGGGAAAACAAGAAGTGGAAAGCAATAAAATATAGCAGGAGAAGGAAAGGAGATCTAGTGAAAATGGACTAAAAAGGGGAAGTTTATATATATGTAAGAATAATTACTTAAATTAAGAAACAGAGGAAGAAAATAATTAATGGGAATTAATAAAAGGGACTATCTACAAAAACATTTAACTTCACCATGTTGCTTAGATGGCAATCATGTGTGGAGTCCAAGTAGGTAGTCACTACGCCATGTTCCCTCAAAGGCAACCATGTATGTAAATTGCTATGGCTTGCAGTTATGTACTTCTATATGGCCTCACAATTTAAGGATCTGCCCAAATATACAGTGATTAATTAAATTACTCAGATCTTGTTGAACCACCGCTGGATCAAATTCATGCGTGTAGCTTTTACTGCATCAACTCTACCAACAATCAATGAAGATATAAATGGTCAACCAGACTGGCTATTGATGCTATAGATATTCCCTATCACACCTACAATGCTAACCAATGTTGCCAATATTAACATCATCCATGACAGCATCTTCTCTCCATGCTTCAAATTATCTCCTCGATGATTTAATTTCAAGGCAATAAGAGAAGGAAATACAAAACCCAGTGAGAGTGCAGTTGTTGCTCCTGTAAACTTGAAGGCTACCCAAATGTTGGGTACTGCAGTGGATCCTAAATAAATAAGTGCCAACAGCACTGCTGTCAAAGCCAAGAGCCTCTTTCTACTCCCTGAGAGTGGAGGTGATCCATGGAAAACTAATCCATCCACTGTTTGCCTCAGGGAGAAATGGATAACAGGGAAGACAAGTACCAGATGAAGAACATATCCAACTCGGACAATATAATTGAGAACCGAACTGAAACGTATTCCAAGGTCCTTATCGAAGTTGGTCAGCACATCTGATTCTGTATCCTTTCCAAACAGTAGATACCCAGAAACAGCCGTTGAGGCATAGATCAGGACACAGAGTACAGTCGTGATCCTTCCTACTCGATTCATCTTCTGAGGAGATCGTCCTTCAAGCTCATTATAAATTGGTTGAACATTAAAATGACAGACATAAGCATTTGTCATGATGGGAATCACTACAAGCAGATCCATGATAGCCTTCTTCGATCCAACATCTGGCCACATCCTTGGTGTCTCTGCCCGTCCTTCAACAAGCTTAATGAATGCAATCACACAGGAAACTACGACAAAAACAACTGCAAGAGCCACTGAAGCAGCTGAAGTCAAGCTCAAAGAATCAATCTTCCCCAAAGCACACAGTGGCGCAAGAAAAACCACTACAATGATAAATATCACCAATTTCCGCTGATCCCAGACTCCTTCACTGCCCAGCCATTGATCAAAAACCCCCACATGATCCGAAGAACCCGACAAGACATCCCCCAAAATTATCAGATAAACTACCAAAACCCCAGCATTGTTAATTATTATACATATCTCAGAAATAATCCTGGCCGGACGGCCCAGTGCAGATTGAACAATATCTCCATAAGAAGACGAATTGCGAAGAGCAGAAAACCGAACAAGCAATTCAATACTTATCTCCGACACAATCCCCATGAGAATAATAAGAACAAACCCAACAACCAACCCGAGGACTTTCATGGTGGCAGGAAGAGCCATAATGCCGGCACCAATGATCGACGTAGCAAGGTTGAAAACAGCACCAGAGATTCCGGACCCATTTTTAACATAGCCTCCGGCATATAAAAGATCATCATCGTCATCAATATCATCACCATGGTCGGTATCCTGTTTGTCGCCGAGGGTTGCCAATTTTAAGAAGTCTTGTTGGGAAGACCTGGGGTTTGGGTATTGGACATGATATTCATCGTGTAATGGTAATTCTACAGATGAAGATACTGGAAGAGCAGAATATCTGCCATTCATTTTGTTTGTCTCTGCAGAATCCTTATACAAAGGAAAAAGAACAAAAAAAACAAACTCTTTTTTTTAAAGAAATCTTGGTTTTTGCAGATCTGTGGAGAAATGGGGAGACGACTTACTGGGATTATCTGCGTGACAATGAAATGGTGATCGGAGGAGCGGCAGCAGAGAAACCCTAGATCTTAGGTTCTAACTTCCAACCTCCAACGGCTGCCTCCGCTGCCCAACGGCGAGGAGGAGGAAAATAAATAACGAACGGAAATTTGCCATTTGAAGGGTTTCCAGCTTTTGATTGGGCGTAGATTTTTGTACCGTTGAGGCGTTGAGTTATTTTCTTTCTGGTGTCTTTCCAGGAGAGTCAAAAGAGTCAAACAGAACCGCGATGGAGGATTTTTGTTTTGGTGGCGGGAACCAATAACTAACTAACTGTCCGCAGTTCTACTCGTAACATTTCGCCAATTACAATTCAGCATGTCAGTTCCGTACACCTGGGTCCCAGTATTAGGATGGCGTGGCATATCATGAGTGGCCAGCATCGATCTGGAACCATGGAGGATTTGGCAAAGTTTTCAATCCGTCGACCGTCGTCCAAGATTGATCCAAGCAGTTGGACCGATGAGCTTGAGCTTAGTGACGCGTCACAATCCCAGTCCCGGACCTCCCGATCAAAAATAATTGATCCGGTCAAGATCCATTAATCCAGTTGACCCATTGATCCATCTAACCCGTGCAATGCACGGATTTTCGTTTTTTGCATTATTTTAATTTTTCTGAAACTTTAATTTTAGGGTAAATTTTTCAAAGTATCCTTATGATTTATGGTTTAGAACTTTACTCTTACTATTTACATATAATCTTAAAATACTATCAACTATTCTGATAATTGACTAAGCGTTCATTAATATTCCATCAAACCATCACAATTGATACACATGTGACACTGGTGATATATAAAACTTTTTTAAAACCTAATATTATCACATTGGAACACAATACACATGTGTTCCAATGAAAACCCTCGTCGTCAAGCCCTCCGTCCCAGTTAAATCGGGCAAATTAACACAATGCACCAGTTGGCTAAATACAATCTCCACAACCCAAATGGGAGATGGGAAATGGAAAATGGGAGTTTATAGAAACAAGCTGACCATTGATTAGTTGACCAGGAGGAAAGCGGTTCAACCTCCGGGACAGGATTCAACCGTTTAAAACACTGGAATTTAGGAGATCCATCATCTGTCCCCTTGGTACAGAAATTATTCTGTCCCAAACCAATAGTAATCTGTCATAGCAGCCTGTTTTCCCATTTCAAAATGAAAGTGAGTTTTTTAGATGATGTGATAGATTGTTATTGATTTGGGACAAAAAAAAATTGTGTCCCAATGCGAGCTCAGAATTTAGAATTTCAAATATTTTTCTCGGACTTTTCAAAAAAAGAAAAAACTATTTTTCTCGGCCGCGGCCCCCAAAATTTGCCATGTATTATTCCAAGTCCCGAGCCGAGCAAGGCAATGGCATTTGGTAATGCTCCATTGGACTGTTTCTGGTTTTCTAATAATAAGGAGAGAAAAAATGATCACCATAATGGAACCTCACTAAACTCTGCCCAACTGGCCATTACCCAACATTGATTATCGGGGCCCTGGGAGGGGTGGATTGGATATGGACCCATCCAGAATTCTTTGAATGCATTCTCAGACTTGTCGGCCTGAGATTTCAAAAAAAAATATTGCCTAAGCATGATAGAACCTTTGAAAAACTAGGGCAAAAGCTATCGCCATTCATTATTTTTTACATAATATGTTACTGATTCTACGAGGCTGGAGACATCTCAGATGCCTTAGTTAAAATTCTGGTTAGGTTGAGACCACCATTTGACTTGATTAAGCTCAGTACTGATGGCCAGCATTGAAAGCATCTCCTTAAATTGGTGAAGGGGAAGGGGGGATTAAAGGATCATCAGAGAGAAGCCATTTTTGTTGGAAGGTTGGTGGGAGTGGGGGGGAGGGGGGGTCAGAACCCTCTTATATATGTGGGGTCTAGCATTGAGACCATGCTGCTTACTATAGTACTGTTAGGGTCAAGATTGGCTGTCAACTAAGAATTGAAAGTGATGATTTGAGGGAGACCAATTAGTGCCTAGAGTCATTGCTAAAGGTCCCCATTTCTTATATCCTAAAACATGCATTGCTCATATGATTTTGCTTATTTATATGGTTCCAAATGCACATTTCCTGATTTATGTTGCTTTATGGTTTTCCTACAAATGGCTAAATAAAGAGGCTAAGGATTTAACCACGTAATGCTTTATAATATCACGACAGCAGAACCAGGTTTTAGACAAGAAACTCCTTCCTCTCATCTGACTGCACATTTCTAAAACTATAACTCAAGTGGCATCTTGCTAGCTAGCTAGTGAAAAACAAAGTTCATAACTCATCCAAAAACTTCGATTGGGTGTTTTAGAACAAATTGATGGAGTATTTAACAGATCTTCTCAAGTAGCAGCTAACGGTTTGTGGTAAAAAAGGTGATAGGGCACAAGCATACTGGAACAAGGAAGCATAATTAAAATCTGGTATTTCAAATTTGAAGTGGGCAAAGGAGTTCAAGAATCAAAAACTTCAGCTGGAGCTCGATGCCATAGTGATAGATAGTTTAAATGGTAAACCAGATGGTTTGCATTGGTACCAAGGTTCAAAGTATCAAAAACGTCAAGTGTATTGAAAAGGTAATTTTAAGAGACATATTAGGATAAATCTAGCTTGGATACACATGCATATTAGAGAAAAATTAAGATGCACATGAAAACATTATAAATACTTCAATAACTTATAAAAGTACATCAATAACACTAAATATAAGACCTCAATGAGGTATATATACATTAAATTCATATATTTTAATGGTTTTATAAAGAAATACATTATAGTTAATTATAATTTCGTTAAAAAACCTATGTTTAACTATAATTTATAAATTAAAATTCTTAAGTTTTATAGGATGAGAAAAACCAAACTCACCTATCCAACCATAAAACATGCATTGGCACAACTTTTAAGTGAAAATATAATTAATAATTATTTATTTTTAATTTAAAAAATTATAAAATTAAAAAAATAAATAAACATTATATAATATATTCAAAAAAAAAGTCATTAATTAAAGAAGAAATTTCAATTGCTTTGTGGATATGATAGATCATCCATAGAATTATAATATATTCAATCATTGTGATCAAATGATAAAATATAATTAATTATTATTTATTTTTAATTCTAATAATATAAAAATAAAAATAATAATTATTAAAGAAAAATTCAATTGCTCTATGGATATAATAGATCATCCATAGAATTATAATATATTCCATTGTTGTGATCAAATGATAAAATATAATTAATTATTATTTATATCTTAATTCTAAAAATATAAAAAATCAAAAAAATATTAAAGAATAAATTTCAATTGCTCTATAGATATTGATAGATAAATCCATAGATCTAAAACATATTAAGTCTTTATAAGTAGAGAAAAAATTACATTTTTAAATTTTTTATTAATTTATATTTTCCCCAAATATCTTCATGAAATTTCCATAGATCTACTCATAACACAAAAAAAAGAAATTGTGATTATGTAACAAATGCAAATTAACATAGATTTAAACATTCAAGAAAAAAATCACAAGATATTATAAAAATTGAAAAACCTACATACTTTTTCCATATTTTTCTTACAATTTTTTGCATATCTAGCACTCAAAGAATAAGATTTGGAGTTTTAGAGTCATTTGGGGGTGAAATAAGACTTATTTCAGGTTTGAAGTTTTTTCTCCCCCTTTATTTTTTATTTCAGTTTTTAGATGTTTCTTTTTCGTAATGTATTGGTCGATACATCCCAATATGGTGGAAAAAAGATGATATCACCAATTTTTCACTGTCTCTCATATCGGACTTTTAAAGATACGATACAATACACCCCTATTAGGCGTATCATATCAAATCTTAAACATTGTAGTTCATCTAATATTATTTTACTACAAGCATAAAGCCTTGCTCATCTAATATTACAAATACAAAGTTCTCTTCTATAGTTCCAATTATTAACATTATACTTCATCTCATGAGATGCTCAAAAAGGCTAACGTAAGTGTGTCTCAATCTCTCAGATAGTATGGCCGAACACCACTCCTAATTGGCTTAATTAAGCCCACGAGAAGTTCAATGAGATTTGCACTAGTGTTTCTTATGTTGGATAGTGTTTTATCCAGTACTATTTTAAAAACCAATCCAGAGGTTGAATGCTTTTTGTCTCTCGGTCATGGGTCACCAATTCAACTGTCTAGGTTGGACGGGTCAAACCATAATACATCAGCACCTGAATCAGTTAAAAGTGATTTATTATACATTAAAGGAACTAGAAGAGCTTGGGATAGACCAAAAAGGATATAAGTAATAATAAATGATTTAAGCACTAACACCTTAATAGTAGATATGACATTAAGGCCCCATTTGGTTTGCAGGAATAGAGGTCTAGAATCGGAATCGGAATCTCAATCCCATTCCGGTTGGAATGGCATTTCCCTGCCCCTCATTTGGGAATGAAATCCCATTCCTACTGATTTTAATTCTCATTTTCATTCTTCTCTGAACCAAACAAACTATGGGAATGGACCATTTTGATTCTGATTCTGAAGGATTTTGATTCCAATTCCGACTACAAACCAAATGGACCCTTTTGGTAAAACATGATTCATTAGTCAACCCATATAATTTGGATAGGGCATAGATGCTGATGATGAGATTTTGAACAGTTACTCACAGTTAATATAAAGATCACCCCAATCAAATAATCAACAACAGAGTTATGCCCTATGAAGTTGATTCGATGACTAGGTCAGATGGGTCAACGGTTCAACCACCCGAACTGGTTGGACCTAAAATATGATTAGATAACCGTTGGAACGGTTCAACTGTCCGGATTAATGGCCTGTTAAACACACTGGTTTTGTCTCCTCTAGCCTTCGAGACTGGTGTTTGAGGCAAGGGGCAGCTCCAAGCCTCTCATATTATCTCAATTTTCTTCCCATGGCATCAAATTACACCATCGAATTGGAATGATGTAATCTTCTGTTCCGTCCATTGGGGCTATACTTGTTTTGCTATCAAGAGTCAACACTCAGTCAAGAGACTCAAGACGACACCATCACTCCATCGGTCGGTGGACAATGGGTAAACCCGTCAACCACTTCGATTGATTTTTCCCTCTGTCACGGTTTGGCTCTTAATCGCTGGACATGGTCCAATCTAAAATCCGAACCCGGTCCAAGATCCGATATTTAGTTACCCCTTTAGAAAGGCCCACTGTTTCATTCTCTGACAAACTGAATGAAGAAAAAGGCAAAAGCCAAGCCAATCTAGATTTTCCATTAAAAACCAATACTTCACATCGAAGAAACTCCCCTCTCTCTCTCTCTCGCTCTCTCTCGCTTTGTTGAATTCAGCTCTTGGAGCTGATGACCTTTCGAATATAAGTAAACGGACGAACTTGCCTTGCTCTGCAAGACCCACCAATCGCTTTTAGTTTCCAACGACTTCGATCGCAGAATTGAGAATTCCTTGCGTTGCCGCTTTCATGGAATCAGAAGCTTCATCAAAGAATACGAGCATGGCAAAATTGAAGATAGCAGGATCTTGGTCGGGTGCTTTGGAAGTCGATTTAGATGTCTGGACGATACCCATGTTGAGAGAAGAGGTTGCCAGGCGATCGAATTGCAGGCCCGAATCAATCAAGCTTATTTGTGGTGGGAAAGTTTTGAAAGATGGAGAAGGGAATGATAAATTGAGTGAATTGGGTATCAAGAACAATGGAAAAATTCTTGCCAGCCGGGTTGGTGCTGATGAAGGGAAGTCCATGAAGGAAGCATTCTTGGCCGAGGAGGAGCGATCTCGCAGGCTTGCTCGAATCAAGTAAGTCTTGGGGCGTTTTTGTTTCTTTGAAAGTTGGCTTCCTTGTTCTTAATCATTTGAGTTTGCTAGAATTTTGATGTTTGCTGTAATTCATGGTGATCTTATCTTATATAGTACTTCTTCGATGGTTTAATTCCTTTAGCTCCTTGGGTTTAATGACGAGGAACCAATGTGGTTTGTATGACTATTTGATAATAGAAACACCCATAAAGCATGCTTTTTATTTGGTTTAGACTTTAATCAGAAGCTGATAGAGGATTTCGGCTGGAAAGTAACCACTGATATTCCTTGCACGTTTCAGTGCCATAGTGCTTACATTTACATCATTAGTCATAATGCTTGCTTTTGTCTCCTTCTTGTTATTTACTTATGCCTTCTGCAACTGCAACTGGATTACAACTCTTGCTAGCTTGGTACCCCCTAGAATGGTTAAATTTTCCATGCAGGTCAATTCCCCATTTTATTGTTTTTAAATGTTTTCTTTTCTCTCCATATAAATGGGTAAACACTACAATTATTTCAAATAGGACTTAGTTATCTGTTAGGGGTAAACCATCAGTTTCCAATCTAAACAGGAAAAAGCTTAGGATGAGGGGTTTTCCCTCCATGGGATGACCAAGTATTGGACAGACTCTACTACTGAAGTTACCCTGGGGACTAGAAAAGGGATTGAGGATTTCTCGGTAATTGGAAAACTCTGTATAAAGATCCAAATGGACAAGAAACCTTTTGAAAACACTGAGAGGCCATCCTTGAATCCTTTTTCTATGGGCTTAGTAACCTATAAATGCCACATTCTCCTCAAAGACAATTGCCCATTTGTTTCTCTTATGACCCGTACAAATTTATATAAATGAAAAATAAATCTTTTACCCCAAAATGTTAGCCACTTAGCTTTACGGAAAGTTCCAATAGCTCTATCATATTGATCTACAATCTAGAAGTTTCCTGTTTCAACTTGCACCTATTATTTGCTTGACGTGCATGACTATGGCTCCTATAAATTAGAAGTGAACAATATTATTCTTTTGCAAGGCTTATTGTCATTTACTTCAATAGAGCAAACTGTGAAAGTTATCTCTCCATTATTTATATGTAACAACCCTCAGAATGACAGGCTATTCTTACTGGCTCCAGAAATTCCCATCTATAAATCATTCTTCCTACTTCTTTGACAATGCATATTCTTGGGTATCAGCAAATAGAAATGGATGCTGCATTGATATGGCTTCCCCTTTCCGATCATGAAATGAAAGTTTCACTTCTCTAAATTACAAGTTTCTTTTCTCAAGTATCTGATAATAGGGACCACTCTATGTTTGACCCACCTTTCTTAAAGGTCAAAATCTATTTTACACCTTCCTCCCATAGTAGTGGTTCCTTAAGCCACATCACTTTTGAGTTTTGAACTCTGTATTCCTTCCCATTTATAGCTTGACTCCTTGTAGTCTTAATTTTCCCAATTGGCATTTTACTGCACAGAGTTGTTTTTCATCATACTGCTTCTTCTTAATAGATGAAGAACTTTCCCTGTACACATCAAATTCCATCAGTCTATGGTACAATACTTCTGAATTTTCTTTGCACTACCCTTGTATTGTCTACCTAGAAGAAATTAGCATCTACTATACATTGTGAAATTCCATCATTCTGTAGAAAGCTTATGTGTTTAGAATATAGCATTGTTTCATTTACCTATACCTTTGTCTGCAGGTATATTCTAAAAATTTGAGAGATATCCCATTGTTTAATCCAACATAATATGTGTATTGTTGTGTAGAAAAATTAGTCTCTTCTAGTTTAATTTAATGAACTGCCTTAGTCCATGTCTGCTATTTCATTGAGGTGGATTCAATGGATCTAACTATTGATGGGCAATGCCACCTTTAACCCCATGCTAATGCAGCATGGTTAAACATGACCCTCTCCATATTATACCCAGTGTTTTAAAAGGCATGGGAGGCGTACGCCTGGAGGCACGCCTCCAGGTGAGGCACTCCCAAAACGCCCTGAGGCATATGCCAGAGGCGCTGACACCTCTGAGGCATACGCCTCATACGCTTTTTTCATGAGGCGTGCTAGATGTGTACGCTTCATGTGCCTCATGCACATCTTATATAAAAAGACAGAAAAAAGAAGAAGAAAAAAAGGAAAGGAAAGGAAAGGAAAAGAAAAGAAAGGGAAGAAAAAAAAAGAGAAAAAGAAAGAAAAGGAAAGGGAAGGGAAGAAAAGATAAGGAGAAAGAAAGTGGTTTGCCCCCCTTTCAACTAATGTTATGCATCTTTATTCTTCTTAATATAAAAGATTTTTATTAAAAATACAGAAAAAATCAGATACCCACTTCCTCTTCATCTTCCTCCCCTTCCTCCTAACCCCACTCCTCTTAAGGAGGCTTACGCCTCTTGCGTTCTGAACTATGCCTCACGCCTCTAGGTAGTGGAACGCCTCTGCGTTTTAAAACATTGATTATACCATAGATTATTTTGTTGCATGTCCTTCAAAATTTCTTTTCTTCCTATTTGAGCCTTAAATTTTGTAGAGTTAATCTTTGAACTATCATGTAGTGGGTGTGAAGCATATCATTAATTGCCTTCAACTTCAGTTCTGTTTGAAGGAGCGTTATCCGTAAGAGGGAGAGGGGAAAATATAAGGATAGAGCTTGTTGACAGGTCCTTGGAAAAAGGCATGCCACTGCCAAGAACATAGGGAGTTCACTTATATTGTAACATCTGGATGATGAGGACTGGTTTGGCGAGTCATTATTCTCATCTATGAAGGAACATGTCCAAGAATAAATTATTGTCCATTAAGTCATATTAGATTGAACAGTTACTAACTTACTAATATTGCAGTCAGTTGATCTTTCATCCATTATATCTCTTGTTAGGAATGCATATGGTGGGTGGCATCACCCTACCTAGTATTTGATGCATTTGTTCATTTAAAGGCATTGCTGGTTTCATCACACCCTCCACTGGGTTCTGTTCTCTTTTTAACTCTGAGCTAAAATCTTGAAATTATAGGGCTGCTGCTGTTGCATTGGCTGAGCGGCATGTTGATGGTTCATTACCAATGGAGGACTTCAATATAGAACTTGAAGATCAGAGTGGAAAGAAGGTTCATTTGGGTTCTGAGACTGATCAACGGTATGGTTTTATAATGTTGCTATATTCAAAGCTGAAAAATTCAATATTAGTGGTGTTTCAAATATCTACAATCCCATTCTTAATTTTTAATTCATATTTGGACTATCATTTGGCAGGGGAGTGATGATGGGCATGATGCTTCATGCAAATGCAAAGCGACTAATTAAACAACAAAAGTACAAGGATGCATTAGATGTGCTTTCCATGGGAGAGGTCAGTTACTGGTGTAATCCATGGGAGATTTAAAGCTATTTTTAATTGTTTGAGTAGTAGTTGGAATTGGTGTCTGATTGTAGTAATTGAAAGTATTTTCATTATTTTAGAAATCAAAATTGTTATTATCCAATCAACCAAAAGACAGAAGATTAGTTACTTCCTAGGACATGTTGTGTAAGTTATTTAAAAGCTGAGGAGATTAATGTCCCATTTCAGTGTCAGTACAATTTTCTAAATCATAGATGTTGAACCATAGCAGGATAGGGGACATCTGGACATCAATCACTGGCCATGCAGATTGGGATTAACTTTTTATTATATATATTTTGCCTCCTGACTCTTTGTCATGATTTTGACTTCAAATTAAATGCTATAGATCATATGGTCATGGTTATCCAGAAGGTATTTTCTAGTATAGATATATATTTTTTTGAGAGGAAGGTAATCTTTTTTTTGTTTGATAATTGAAGGTAAAGCAATCTATTAGACAATAAGCAAACAAGATCTGCACAACAAGGAACTGTGCAGTGCCCAATCAAAAACTGTACATTTTCTAACTTGTATACCCTGTTTGCATAGATGCAAAAAGATCTCCAGAATTATAAAAAGAGCTATATGGTCTATTACTGAATAGTCTGTGTTCCTACCCATGAGTACATCCTACCCCAAAATCCTTACATAAATTTTCCTCTGTGACAAACTTATTTTCAAAGTTTTTTGTTTCTTTCGATCCATCCAAACCACTAATGCTGGTCCTACTCCCCAAATAACCTTGCCTTCTTCAGAGAGACCTTTCAACTGCCAACTCTGTGGCACTGCAAATAGATTTTCTGTGAAACAGAACTGAGCTTCAAACAGTCCCAAAAACTTTGCCCGTAGGTTTTGAGCAACTCTACAGTGGATCAGTAGGTGGTCTGAATCTTCAGAAGCTTCCCCACACATTATGCACTTACTAGGCAGCACACTCATCCCTCTCCTAGCAAAAACATTTGCTGTCTAACACTTGCCCAACACTGCCACCCGTAATAAAAAAGCATCTTTTGGAAGGGTTTCAGTATTCCACACTATGGCTTCTGGGAATCCCACCATCTCTGCCTCCGTGAGTTTATTATAGAAAGATCTGACTGAAAATTCCTGCTTTATCTTTTGTGAGACTTCTAATAGGTAGACTATCCTTTGATCTACCCTATTGGTGCCTTCTTCTAATAACTCTATTGCTCTTTGATTCTGTAAAGCTAAGAACTGCTAGTTATCTTTTCTCAGTAAAGTCATCAGAATGAAAAGGTACCTACTTTTTCACTCTTGTTGATTATGTGAAATCTTAGCAACAGATGTTTCAAAGCAAAGCAAGTGAGTTCAGTCCCCACTCCTTTCTGGGTGCTTAGGCAAACCAATTAAGTAAATAACAATGTACATTTACCAATAAAATGCTTTCCTGTTTGTTATTTTATTTGATACCGATTTAGCTAGATTTAGGCCCTGTTTGGCGTGTCTTTTCATGCAGGCTGTCAGCTTTTTAGAAGTCCGGCAGCCCGCATTTTGGTCTTTTCCTGTTTGGTTGGGAAAAGATCTAGCTGTCAAAAGCCACAGTCCCGAAAAGACGCGGGAAGTCCGTTTCAGGCTATTTTCAGGAAGCTCCAAGTGGAGCTTTTCGCCTTTTTTCAACTCATCTTCACACAAAAAGACACGCCTTAACCAAATGGTCTTCAAGCTGCTAAGATCTTAATGCAAGCTCACATCGTCTTTTGGCTGTCAGGTCTACTGGAAGATCTACTAAAAAAGACTTGCCAAACGAAACCTTAATCTTTGTGAAATTGTTTTACCAAAAGTACAAGTTACCATTCATAAGTATTAGAAAAAAAAAACTACAAAGAAATCATCTAAGCCTTTCTACAAAGAGCCCTCTTTTCTATAAAAGAAAAACACAAAAAAAACATGCATGCAAGAAACTGAAAATGATTTATATTGTATACAAATATGTTACTTCTCCTCTATCACTACCCAAATGAAGAAATTGAAAGAAAATTAAGAAAGTGAAATAGGAAGCAGGAGAAATTGTAATATAAATTAATGATACTTTGTGTGTTCTGCATATACAATAAGAAATATAAATGCATATATATTTTGCTATAATGTGGTGCCAAAGGCTGACATATCTATGTGAACCAACCCAATTCCATGGGCCTGCAAATATTCACTAGCAAGACCAAGCCCAATAAATTTTTGAGTGGAGTCCAAGGCCCACAACATTAATTCCATTCTAGTAAGCCCAAGGCATTGGTCACCAATTTACGTGAACCTCATGTGGCATGCAAAATATTTAATCCTAATCAAATATTCTCAAAATTATCATAGTCCAATCTTGAAGATTTAGTAGACATTTGGTGGATTTTAGAAGTTTTTTTTAGCAAATATTCTTCTTTTTAGTTTCATTGTTTAGGAAAATTAATATATTGAAGATCCCAAAAGAGATAATTTTGCATCCTCTTCTATATAAACTCTATTTTGAGGATTCAATTGAATGAAAAATGAATAGTTTTCTCTATCAATGTGTTTGGTGCTGAATACAAACTTATGAAGGCACTGGCTCTTTCATATTTAGGGCTGGCTCCTAGAGAAATCTAGTTGTATTAATTCCTTTATTATCAACCTTTAACTGAGAACAGCTATTCTATTTACTGGTTGAGTATTAGTTATTGAACCTCTCTTATTATTTCCAAATTTTCTATTTCTGTTTCCTTTTTTTCTACATTGCTAAATCATCCCCTACCCTTATTTCTCTTCTTTTTCACTTTTTTCCCTTATCCACTTGTTATTTCTGCTATTAAGTTTCTGTAGTCCCTTAACAGCATACCCAAACATTCCCTTTTCTATTTTCTTAATCTTTGAGCACTCTTAAGTTCTGTCTGGTAGTTTATCTTGTTGGTATCTAACCCTCAAACAAGCAAGCTACCAAGGGCCTTATGGTGTGTTTATTTTGTTAAGAATCAGTTCAACCGCCACTATTAGTTATTGCTTTGGGGGTCCAGCATTAGAGATGCAATTTGGGTTCCTGATTTGAGGAATTTTCAGTTTTCCACTGCACCAGGTTTGGTCCATTGGGCTTGGGCCCCTTTGAAATTTAAGAAATGCTCAACCAAAGATTTCCCAAGTTGCGTCTTACCTGTGTTGCACATAAAAGGCACCATGATTTCATGATAACCATGGTTGGAAACCCAAAACCTTTTCTTTTTTATGTAACAAGTGCTGGTATGACAGAAGTTGAATGTCTAAAACGATGAATACAAATGCTTTTAGTGTAGGCAACTTTGAGAAATGGAGTCTACCTTCCAATTGAAACCATTATGAAGACAATCCAACTGATCTGTATTTCTCACTTGTAGGAGGCTTTCTCTCTCTGTGATCCTAAGGTTATTGAGGTAAGTCAAATGGTTCTTTCTTCCAAAGAAAAAAACAAAAATGAAAGAAAGGGAAGTTCCATGCCCATAGTAACATCTCTGATTTTCTCAGTTACCTTGTTTTTGTATCTAGATGATTGATAATATCCCAATACTCCAAATAGACACAGTATGGTGTTATTTCATGCTTAAAGACATCACATGGCTGTCTATGGCGGGAGAACGCCTTGCAAAAGCAAGACAAGGAATTGAACGTACTCATGGGAAAGACTCCAGCCGTATTAGAATCCTTCAAGGAGGTTCCTATCCAGAGCTTGCATTGTGAGTACTCTTCCTAAATGCTATATATCATATATTTATCTTTCTGACCTTTCAAAATAGTACTCTAATTATGGAAGTCTATTCTTCTTTACCACTTGTTATTAGGCACTTGAGACTGGAGCTCCTGGAAGGTGTAGTGGCTTATCATAGTCATCAATTTGAGAAGTCTAGAAAGGCATTGAACTCTGCCCAAGATAAATTCCTTCAGGTACTCTGGTTTCTATCCACTAGAAATGTCTTCTATATATGTTCGAAGTAGTGCACTTTCAAAAATTCTGTCAGAATAATTGGTTAGACCAAATATATCTGATGCAGAACATTAAACATTAACCTCTTTTCAAGGTTAATATGATCTCTGGCATTTTTGTTGATTCTAACATAGTAGCTTGCTGTGCAGTTTTAAGGGAACCTCTCCCTCCTTTTGATGGTATAAATACAAATAAAGAATCTAAAATGTAGCACTTAGCCACTTACCCACCTATAAATGCAGAAGGCCAGAATTCATCTTAATCTGGATTAGTTGCAATATTTTTATCTCTGTTCATGGAAATGATGGATTTAATAGTCAGTACCAATCTAATAAACTGCATTTTGGTTGAAATTATGAGGGACATTGTGTAAAATGTTTAAAGGGAATTTTTTTATGTTTGAAAAGTCATCTTATATAGTAAAATAATTTTTTGAAGGAAAGAAACAAAGCACATAAGATGTATATGGTTTTGGAAGTTATAATTTGAAGTTAAAAACAACCTTGTTCCATGCAGCTTATGTTGCCTGGTCCCATATATTCCAGATTCTTCATTTTAAAAGACAGTTTCATTTATTTATTTTTCTTCTTTTCTTGTTTTCACTTCATTATATTTTTTCCCTTAATTTGATTTCGTTTTTATTTTGATCAGCTCCAGGTATCAGATGAAGCTCTATCACTGCTTATAAGCATGGGTTACAAGGAACGGGAGGCAAAAAGGGCACTGAGAATGAATAATCAAAATGTTGAGAATGCTGTTGAGTTTCTTATTCAGGAGAAATTGAAGAAAGCACAAAAACGAGAGGAGGACATTCGGCGGAGAAATGAAATCATGTGGGTATTCATTTCGAAAGTACACTTTGGGCACAAATAGCTATCCATCTCTTTGGTATATTCCTTGTCAGTTAATGATGAAACTTTGACAACTGCAGGGAGCAGAAACGTTATGGAATGACTCCCCTTAAGAAAGCTGTGGATCTTGAAAGATTGAATGAATTGGTCTCCATTGGGTAAGCAGTCTCAACTCTCAACCACTATATTTAAGAATATCTATACTGCCTCTTACTAAATTAAATTTACTCGCTGAGAGATTGTTTGGTCTTAGGGATTGGAGGTGAGGGAGGCAAATCTTATTATTTACAGATGCTGGAATGGCTAAAATTAGGAACTTCTGTGATGCTGTAAAAGCACTTTTTATTGGATTCATACATATTAAATAGAAGATATGTAGTACCAAAAATGTTGTTCTTTTTCCTTTCCCTAATCACCAATTAACCTACTGGTATTTTGACAGCTTTGAGAAGGAGCTTGCAGCAGAAGCACTTAGGAGAAGTGAAAATGACACACAGAAGGCCTTGGATGACTTGACAAATCCCGAGACAAATTCTAGTATACAGGTTATTTATATTCTCTTTCAAGATCAACTTTGCACCAGGTTCGACATCCACATCATATTCTTTGTTTTCTTGCAGCTCTACATTGAGTCAAAGAAGAAAAAGAGACTTAGACAAGCAGCAGATGCTGCTATTGAAGAGCTTATATCTATGGGATTTGAGAGATCAAGAGGTACCATAGGAAACATTGATTTGCACCTGTCTTCTTAGTGGAATTTGCATTAAGCAAGTTTTTATGGGATCAACTTGTCATCGTCCTGGATCTTTAGAATTTATAGATTCATTAATAGGATATCTATATAGGAATTAAATGTATAGTGGGAGGATATTTCCATTCTAATTGCATCTTCCTGCTACTTTAGTGTCATGTATCTATTTGGTTGACTTGTTTTAATTTTCCAACTATTGTAATGTTCCTCATTGCATAGATATGTGGCACATAGAAATTAAAGATCTTATCATTATTCCTTGTTTTCTGTCTGAAGTGGTTGCAGCTGTACGGTCATCTGGGACAAAAGAGCAAGCATTAAATTTGCTGATTGAAGAATCTATGCCAAACCCCACAACAGAAGCTAATGATGGTACAGCATTTGATTCTACACTACATAGTAGCACAGGTTCTGCTGGTGTGAACAATGAGGATATGGTTGAAGGTCCATTACACATCAATGATACAACAGAAGAACGAGACATGGAGATGGAAGATGCTATTGTACAAGAAATAACAGGAGATTCATTATCTGACTATGATATTGAAGTTACGAAAGAAGGTGAAGCTATAGCTGAGTACTTGGCTCTTCTGACTTCTACAGGCAATAGTGGGAAAGACTCTACTCAGTGAGAATACAGAAATCCAACTGATTACATTTCTTGTAAATAGAACTCTGCAAAAAAATGCTAAAGGTTAGGTCTGTATCAAGTCCACCACTCCCAAAACCCCAGATAGCTGGGACCAACATTGGGAGATGGCCTTTTTAGAATCTTGATAATTTTACATTACAAATAGACTGACTGAGTGTTTAGGATGCTTAGCAGAATGAATGGAAATATTCATCAAAAATCAGGTTTTACTTTTAATCTCTTGCTAGTCCAAACTACTACTTTGGAAAAAATTAGCTCTTTCCATGGTAAGAAGCCTCTAAGTTAAGTCGCTCACCATGCACTCTACCGACTTGATATTCCTCTGGAGTGCTTATCAAATTGAAGGTTATATGTCTGAAAGTTACTTGTCTGATTACTCCTTTCTTTTTTGTTGATAAACCCAATAATAAAAGAGATATTTCTCATCTTTGACTTGTTACACCGTATGGTAGTAGGATCAAACTTTTGGTCATAAAGGTTAATATTTTTTGACGGCAGAGGAATTAGCATAGGCAGACCCTGAGAAGAGAACCACTTGTTTGGTGCACATCAATATCTTTCAAGGGATGCAGCGTGGGTAAGAATAACAAGACTCACCAATAATTTGTTAATGGTTATTTAATTCTTATAAAAAAAATTTTAGAAATCATTGAAGAGATTTTCCTATGCACAACTGGGTTTCTCACTCCTGCAAGCTGCTGTAACCAACAGGCCGGTTTGCTTTTCACAGGATGAGTTTGCCTTTGATTATACATTTATACCTGATCAATGTATGCCTATCCATCACATTCCCGATTCCTCAATCTCAAGGTTGTGACTTGTAAGGCGAGGTATGATCAGGTGATGCTCCTCCCAGACCCAAACTGTATCTAGAGGCATTGGCATTGCTTGTGGGACCTGGGTCAGATTTAGATCGGAAATTTTTGGTTTATTTTATTAATGTTTTATGCTTGGCGTAAGCAGCATGATTTGTATGATGCTTGATTCAGTAATTATATTTGCGCTCCTACAGGAGGTTAATAAAGGATCTTTCTCTCGGATCTGCTACCCACATTCTTATGCATCGAATACTACAGCTGCGCATTGGGAATATCTCCTTTGTCCATATTCTCAATACACAACAGTGGTGTTCTGTGAGTAGAGACGTTATGTAGGCAAATGATGATGCCTTCCTCCGGTTTAAAGGCCAAGAATTTTATCTAGGGTCCCCAAATTTCTATGACGACTGATCTCCTAGATAAATGGTTTCCTTTCAATCCATTTTGGTCAACAACTAATTAGAGGTGCTGGGCCATTACAGCGTGGCCGAATAAGCCTAAGGCTTTGTCTGCCGCACAGCAAATTGTAAACACATTTCACCATGTGGCTACACAATACATCAATAAATAATTGAACTCTTTTTTATTTTGGGTACTTTCGAGTTTTGAATGATATGATCCATCCCAAATTTTCTACTGAATCATTATTGGATCAGTGTCATGTAAACAGATTTATTAGCTGAGCATTTCTCATCTTTGATAAAAACCTAAGACTTGTTACTTCAGATCACTGTACATCATGCAAGTCTCATCTTATCTGCGGAGCATTTGGGGGCCTTTCTTCCTAAAAGCCAAGTTGAAACCATTTGGATTTGGTGTCTCAAGTTTAGCTTCTCCTTAATTATTCAGAAAAAAAGTTTAGCTTTTACCTTAAGGATAATTTTCGGTTGTTTTATCAGATAAGCAAAAGCTGTCTTCTATTTGTTTTTGGCTTTTGCATTTTCTTGGTGTTTTTTAATGATAAATCCATGCGTTGTTGTGCTCATAAAACACTAAAAAATCAAATTGAACTGAGAAAATCCAGTTTATCAAACCAATCGGTTCGGTATTTTTAAAAAATTGAATGAACAGTTTGATTTTTTGTTAGCCTAAAAAACTGACGGATAAATATATTATATTATAAATATAAAAAACCAAAGAACCGGAACTGGTCAACCAATTAACTGGTTGATTTGATTTGTTTTTGGTTCAGGGGTTTTCAAAAATACTAGTTCAGTTTCAAAAAATACCCCACAGTTCCATTAACTGAACCGTAAGCACTGCACAATTTAGAACTTTTAAGCTTCCCTTTAAATGCCAATAATGCCCTCATATGTTAAATGACTATAAACCTTTTGAATATCTCAAATGTCTAAATTGCCCTCAACTATTTCGTCGTACGTTAAAATGACTGGAATGTCCCAAATGCTTTTAAAACCCAGATTTATATCTTCTCCCACTTGTTATTGTCCATTTACAATAAAATTAATTATCTTGCATTTTGCATTATTTTATATGTATTTGTACAGTATATATTTGTGTTCGTACTCCTTTCAAACTGAGCCTTAATTACAAACAGTGTTGGTTGCAATGCTTTTGGTAAGGCTGTATTTGATTGCAGTGCAATTTTATTTGCACTAATACAAATGCATGGGAATGCAAATAAAAAAGATGCAAATTGTTATTTAATTTTGTGGTTTTACTTTATTTTGATTCGTGTCTTAATTTACTTCGTTTATGCTACAACCAAATAAGATAAGCAAAAATTTGAAACAAAAATAAATCAGAATTTACACTCAAATAATTTGTATTGCCATTATTTTGCATCAGTACAAATTTATTTGCATTGTAACCAAACACGGCCTAAGCAATTTAAGGAATCCAGGTTCCAGAGCATACTATGTTGGATTTCAAAGCTATGCAGAAACAATTCCAATTTCTTGCTTTATGCAGAAACCATTTTCTATCCATCCACATTCTATAGTCTCTACTGTCTATATAAGTCTCAATTTTAAAAGAGTATAAATATAAATATATAGAGTGCAAAGCCCTGTATTTTGCACCGTATATATATATATATACTCTTTCCAAACTGAGCATAAGGTTCTCTTCATGTGGCACATTAATTTACAAAGGCATGCCTTCAGCATTAATTGTTACTATTATAATATACCCTATGCCATGGTTCTCTCCATGTGAAGAAGGCATGTCTTCAGCAGTAAATGTTACTGTTATAATATAAAGTTCATAGACAAACGTGTAGGCAAGAAGAGCGATGTGGAGAGTAAAGGGGGGGAAGCTAAAGCTTCAGTGCTCACAAAACCGTGTTTACACTTTAAAAAAGTACTTTGTAATCTTGTATCGAAAATATTTTTCCATAAAAAAGAAAATATAAATATAGAGATATTCTCAATACACAACACAACAGTGTAAATACACTGTACAGTCTTATAAATATCAAGTCCATCTCAAAATAAAACTTATCGTTCTTGTTCTTGTCGTCATCATCATCATCATTGAACCTTATCTAATTATACGGGGTCGATTATTAGTGTCATCCATGTCTTTTTTGGTATGTCCTTTTTGTTTTTCACTCATTCAACTTGCAATAGATTGTGGGGTTTATGGTTTTGTATGCATACATTTTTATGCACGTGATTAAAGTATGTTAATCTAATTTCTCTCATTTTATCACCTTCCACTTCAACTTCAACTATTCCTGAATTTGACCCTATTCTTTCCAATTCTATTCATCCAGCATATTATTTGCGTTTATACCATGTTCATTTTTAACATATTTCTTCATTCAACATCAAAGTAAATTATCATTTTTAGGTCCGGGGTAATCTAACCCTAAGCCCAAAAAGTCGTGCAGTTCAGCCAATAAATTATCAACTGACAACGGTTCAACTGTATGGTCCAGTCTGGTTCTGACAACACTGATTCAATCAATATGAGTGCCAGCTTGGTCTGCTCGTCCATCTAGTTCTTGGTAGGGTACCCTTTTCTGTATGTCAACGGCTTCTTTTGGCTCACTACCCTTTTGTTGATTCCGATCCAACTGTCCTTAGCTTCAGATCAGGTACTCCGCCTACACATTTCTGGTGTATGGTACAATCTGTCTTGGCCGTTTTCCACCGTTGACTCCAGAGTCCAGATGCGTTAACGACCAGTTCTGCTCTTGTACCAACCGGTGTGACGGTGACCGCTTTCTGGTGAGAATGTGGCAGTCCACCGGCTAAAAGCTGGTGGTTGGCGCGTTCCCAGTTCTGTGCATCGTCTTCAGCCGTGAAAACGTCCCAAGAAGCTTGGAGTTCACGGAGCCGAGGGCCCCACCGCCGTTTCCTTCCGTGATGTGTTTTTCTCTTTTTCGCTAACTATTCCTTTCGTGAAGGTAATAAAAAGCTTGGGTTCTTGTATAGCTTCTTGGTGGCGTTTACGCTAAAGCTGTGGAACCTAACAACAACCAGAAAACGGTTGGTTCTCATTCCTTCTTCTGCAACCATAGACGCTGTGGATAAACAGAGGATTTCTGGACAGTATTGCTTTGGTAGGCGGTAAATTCCTCTTCTAAAGAAGTTTTCTGGTCAAAATCTGTGTTTGTTGTGAGAAAAAAAGTTGGAACCAGAAGAGTTTTCTCCAGATAAATTGGGAAATACTTGGGCTTCAAAGGCGGATTTTTGGGTATTGGAGGTTGTTTCGTTGAAACAGAATCGGGGGGTTTGTGTTTTGGATTGGATTTCGCAGAGAAGCTCTGTCACGGTCCTAACGGAGGAGAGACCGACCTTCGTTGGGTGAGGGTCTTTGATAGGTAATTGGGTTGGAGCTGCAAGGATTTGTTTAGAAATAAAACAAGGACTCTGGGGTTTGCTTTCTTCTGTCTTGGGGTTTCCAATGGGGAAGTCTGTCGGGAAGAAGAAGAAGAAGCAGGTAGGCGGGAAATCTGGCGAGGAAAATGTGAAGCAGAGCAAAGCAGGACAGCCGAGCTCCAAAGCCTATGACAATGACACAGTTATCTTCATCGCAATGTCACAGGAACTGAAGGATGAGGGGAACAAGCTGTTCCAGAGGAGAGATCACGAAGGAGCCTTGTTGAAGTATGAGAAGGCTCTTAGGTTGCTTCCGAGAAGCCATATAGATGTCGCCCACCTTCGGAGTAACATGGCGGCTTGCTATATGCAGATGGGCATCGATGAGTACCCCCGAGCAATCAATGAGTGCAACTTAGCTCTTGAAGTCTCCCCCAATTACAGTAAGGCTCTGTTGAAAAGAGCGAGGTGTTACGAAGCTCTGAATAGGCTGGATTTGGCCTTCAGAGATGCTGGTGCTGTTCTGAACAAGGAACCGAATAACCTTATGGCGCTGGAAATTGCAGCAAGAGTGAAGAAGATGCTTGAGAAAAGTAGTGTCTGGATGGATGATGAGGGAGTTGTTCTGGCTCCAAAACAGATTGAAGAACCCCCTTGTGCTCCTACTCCAGGAAGATTAGTTAAAGAGAAAGGGAAAAAGAAGAGTGACAAGGTTGTGGAGAAGAAAGTTGAAGATGAAGTGGTTGTGGAGAAGAAAGTCGAAGATAAAGTGGTTGTGGAGGAGACTGTTTGTAATACCAAGGAAAAAGAACCCCCAAGGACTGTAAAATTGGTACTTGGGGAGGACATAAGGTGGGCTCAGTTACCAGCTAAATGCAGCATTCTGCAGGCCAGGGACGTAATCCGAAAGCGATTTTCAAGCTCAAAGTCCTTTCTCATTAAATACAAGGATAAAGAAGGTGACTTGGTTACTATCACTACTACTGAAGGGCTGAGATGGGCTGAAGCATCAGCTGAACCACATGATGCGGTCAGGTTGTACATTGTGGAAGTCAGCCCCCAGCAAGAGCCATTACTGGACGGTGTAGGTAATGGGAAGGTCTATAGGCTTGAGAGAAACAAAGATAATGTTCTGGACAATGGGAGTTTAGGAAAAGTAGGGGAAATAGAAAGAGGGTCTTTTTATATGAATGATTGGATTGCCCAGTTTTCTCAGTTGTTTAAGAACCATGTTGGGTTTGATTCAAATGCATATTTGGACCTTCATGAGCTTGGGACAAAGCTTTGCTCAGAAGCTATGGAGGACACTGTTACAAGCGAAGAAGCGCAGGACATTTTTGATACTTCAGAGAAAAAGTTCCAGGAGATGGCTGCTCTAGCCTTGTTCAACTGGGGAAATGTTCACATGTCCAAAGCAAGGAAGAGGGTGTTCCTCACCGAAGATGCTTCAAGAGAATCTGTATTTGCCCAGGTTAAAATTGCTTATGAGTGGGCACAAAAAGAATATGTGAGAGCAGGAAAAAGATATGAAGAAGCTCTAATGATCAAACCAGACTTCTTTGAAGGTCATCTTGCACTCGGGCAGCAACAGTTTGAGCAAGCAAAACTTTCTTGGTGTTACGCAATTGGAACTAAGGCTAATTTGGAGACATGGCCTTCTGCAGAGGTACTAAATCTTTATAACAATGCCGAGGACAACATGGAGCGGGGATTCCAGATGTGGGAGCAGATGGAGGAGCAACGTCTGAACAAAATTTCCAAACAGAATAAGGTCAGAGTGCAATTGCAGAAAATGGGGTTGGATGGACCATTCAAAGATATATCAGCAGAAGCTGATGAGCAGGCTGCAAACATGAGATCTCAAATAAACCTTTTATGGGGTAAAATTCTGTATGAGCGATCTATTGTTGAATTCAAATTAGGGCTTCCTGTCTGGAAAGAATGCTTGGAGGTTGCAGTTGAAAAATTCGAACTTGCAGGAGCTTCTCCAACAGACATTGCTATCATGATAAAGAATCATTGTTCCATTGGAACTGCAGTGGAAGGTAAGTATGACGGTCTAGTGACCTCAGATCTCTTTTTTCTTTCCTTTCCTTTTTGGTTTAAGAAAGTATGAATTTACATTTTGACCTCTTTGCATTAAATACAGGCTTGGGTTTCAAAATTGATGAGATAATACAGGCATGGAATGAGATGTATGATGCTAAAAGATGGCAGAGTGGCATTCCATCTTTCCACTTGGAACCATTATTTAGGCGGCGGGTTCCAAATATTCATCATATCTTGGAGAGCATGTGAATCAGGGTCTGAACTGAAATTGCATAGAACATTGGAAGATTCAGATTCACTCCTCCATTGTCTGGAATCTGCACTGATGCTGACTTAGGTAATTGTGTCTCCATCATTTCCTCTTTTTCAAATATAGATACCTCTGCTACCATTATGTAGGCATGACTGTAACCCTAGTTTCCACAAAGGGAATCTAGTTTAGGAAGTGCAGTCTATATCAGATGCATGGTTAGATTTATTTAACAGATAATACCCCCTAAAGGGAAAACAGAACAGATGGCAAAACAGGATTCGTGTAGCTGATGCAGTATGGCTGGGATAAGGCTTAGATGATGAAGATGATGATGACTCCTAAAAGAAAACAGGGGATAGGCAATATTGGTTTTAACTTTTAAGGAGTTGATAGGCACTGCACCTAAATATTCATACTTGTTTTTTAAGTTATTGAGATGGTGAGGCCCAGGATCAGATCCCCTCCTCAGGATTCTTTTGCTATTTGTTTATTTTTTCATATTCAGCTGGAAAGATGCCATCTTTTAATTTAGGTCAACAAGCCCTATATGAGCCTTTCTTTTCTGCTATGTTATTGATATACTTGTGATCACTACAACAAAGTAAACAACTTGGATTTTGTAGCAAACATCTATAAACTTTTGTATGGCAATTGACCTGCACTCATTTACATCAAAACCCAGTTTTTATTCACGATTCTGGAGATAAACTTTTGCATGTTCGTTTGCTACTTTACATCCTTCTGGATATCTTGTTGTAGAAGCTTAATGTAACCTGCTTGTCCTGGTCACAGATATCACATTTTTGCCTCTTTACTTCTGTATGATTTCCAGAAGGTTTCAATCTAACATGGAACTATTTGTCATCTTGGTCCAATCTTCTATCCTTGTCTTGTTTACTCTTATCTGCTATGCTTTGTGTTTGAAGTTTCTGAGTTACCATATTCTTTTCTTCTACAGTAGTAGCCTTTTCCAAGGTCAAGTTGGTCCATTATATCTCATCTTAGATGTCAACTTTCAATCCTTTTTTTTCTTGTCTGTAACATTGTGTTCATAATCAAAAAGCAAATGATATAATTGTCTACACCCCATAGGAATGCATGTTTCAAGACTTTCTTAGAAGAAACAAAAGAAAGATATTTGTAATAAACAAGATTTGGAGAAACTTCCTCACAGAAGCCTCCTATTGGTTTCCTGGTGTACAGCTGTATAATATTCTATGTGAACTAACCAAATTTTAACGTTATGAAATTTTAAAGATTAGTAACAAGTATAGAGATTTCCTTCTTAAAGCTAAATTCTTATCTAAAAGATAAGTGGGTAAATTCTTAAGATTACACTTACATGAAACCTCAAAGAACATAACATAAACTAGCAATTCCCATGGATATACATTCTTCTTTTCTCTTTGGAATATCTAACCATAGATTTATCAATGAATTAGATAATCTTGGTCTGATTGGAAGATGACAAGATTAAGCTTTCTATCTCTACCACTGAAGTGCTTAGACCATCCCTAAGAGAAAAAAGCATTGACCTAAGTAACATGATGAGGACTGCATCATTATTACTAATTCCCTTTAGCATGTTTGGTGAAATTCCATAGTTTTGCATATAATTATTAATTAGAGAAAAGCTAATTAAATATTTAATTATTAATTACAGATAATTCTCAATATTTATTCAATGTCAAGAAAGCACTTCAATATTCATTCAGAATGATAGCCTTCCTCCTTGCATGCCTTCTACTTTGTCTCAATTTTTTCTGGGCATCCTTCCTGTTTTAGTTATTTCTTCTCATCACTTGGGAAGTATTGCATCAAAGTCTCTTTTTTCTAGTATCCTTTTGCATAAGAGCCTCACAACTCTCGAGTGGATCTCTTGAGATATAGAGGTGCATGGTCATATGTACTTTGGAGAACTACAGATTTAAATACTCTTTACCTAAATATGGCTGCAACACTTGACAGATGTTCATGATTTGTGTCTTTAGGTCATGAGATTATAGTTGAAACCATTCTTGTAGCATATTAAAAGAGAAAACTGGAACCTTGCCTAGTAGAGCAGCATTTAATGTCCTTTGGAGCTCAATCCTTTCTTTAACATGTTAAAGGACAAATCTCTTTTGGGTCAATTATGTATCCATACTTGCTTGTTTTTCTAAGGCTTAAATCCAATTTAAATTATCATGCACTTTCCAAATGTGCTTTAAGACTAAAAATAAAAATAATCCATTCATATTTGATTCTTTTTTCCCTGAAGTTTATTTGCTTTTGAATTGTTTGCTATGCCTTGATTGAAATTCAAGTGTCAGTTTCTTCTCAGCATTTATAGCTAGGGTGAAATATATTTTTCTTTGTCAATTGTGTGCAGAACTCCTTGCTACCTGGACTGTCATTTGAGTACTTGTGAAGGAAAGAAGGTTTAAGTTTTGCAGTGGAGTTTTCTGCATCAAGCTAAGGAGCTGTTGTATCAATTACTTTCTATTTTGGGGAGAATATCATACCACAAGGATCATATAAAGAAGCAGAAATTTCTTTTTTCTGGTTTCTGCATCTTCACAGAGTTTCAAGTAGTAGGTAGATGATTGGATTTGTAATTTATTCTTGAAGTAGATCTTATAAATGATTTATGGACTCTTTTAGTTCAAAAGTTCTGTAATTTATTCATGTATTGTCAATTTGCCAATTTGCAATTTTTTCAGTTCATTTCATTGTAGTGTAAAACAGTTTTTATTTTCACCCTCATTATGGCTCTATTTGTTTCTTAGGAATTTCTGGGAAGAAAAATATTTCCTTCAGTTGTAGTATTTTCAAACGCTTGTGATGGAGGACGATTTGACCCAACCTATGAAACGGTAACACGTGGACACTGACTCAGCACGAGCGACAGCTCAGCATTGTAGCCTAGTGCGACCAAGTGACGGGCCCATAAAGCAGCTCGCTACATTGTAGCTCACAAAAGGAGGAGCTCGCCACAACACGGGCTCCGAGTTCCCCGAGCTACCTTTGAAGGGACACTCCGAGGCAACTTTAGCTCGCGATCTAGGGGAACTAGCTCGCCCGAGCTCCCAAGCAGACAAGTCATCCCAAGGACCGATCCTATTAAGGCTAATCCTGAAGTATTCCGAGCTCACTGCAAAGTAGCTCGCGAAAGAGCCGCGTGAGCACTCCTCAGGAAGATTCTACCTGACTGGTCGTACCGATCAGACTGCGCCACGTCCCTTACTGACGGCGCAGTCCCTGTCCTTTCGACAGTCTGCGTCCACGTCTCTCAGCAGGCGGAGGCGTGCCTGCCACTTTGAAGACGTGTCAATCACCCGGGCGAGAAATACGTCACAACGGCCACCTGCGCAGCCCTGGTAGGTAACTGTTGTGGCAGGAGCCCAGTGGCGGTTATGCCCAACCTGACATGAACGCCCCTATAAAAGCCCTCAAGGCAGAAGAGAAACTTCTTCTAGAGACTCCTAATCTTTTGAGTATAGTGATAGCGCGCTATCTACACTCTTAGCTTTTACCTTCTCTTTGCTTATACAGAGTACTAACTTAAGCATCGGAGGGTCCCCGTCGGGCAAACCCCCAAGGGATTCTTCTTCTTCTTCGTCTCAGGTATCTTTCAGGAGCCACGTGAGTGCCAGTTAGGAGTGACCGGATCGCGCTACATCATTTGGCGCCATCTATGGGAAACGCTTCGAAAAGCCTTTCTCTAAACTCACATCTCTTTACTATTCAAAAACTCAACACTCATGGCTTCCTCTAGCAACATCGGACGAAGCGCGGAGATGGATAACTCCAGATAACAGCCCCAGCTTCCTACTGTCTGCATCGGACAGTTTACCGTCCCCCTCTCAGCGGATGGGATCTCTAGTTTGAACGTGCCTATTACAGGGGCACCCGTCGTCGCTCCGCTCCCTACTACAGTCGGAGCAACCTTCACCGAACCCTCGGTTGTGCCCCCGGCGGGCGGCCTGAACCAACTGGAAGACTTGATGCAGTGCATGTGGGCCATGTAGGCTCAAATGCAGCAGTTCCAACAGTTTCAGCTCTATCATATGCTACACTAGGTCTCCCAGTACCAGTATCAACAACAATTTCCCCAGCTACCTCAACCTCAGCTTCAACAATCGCAGCTCCCTCCTCGGCACCCTGCCTCGCAGCGAGCTAGGTCTCGCCGTCAGGAGGAGCACCTTTCTCGCCAAGGAGAGGCCCCCTAGAACCCTCCAAGGAGCCAGGCCTCCTCCCGCGGCAGACAAGAAAGACCGGCTACTCCGGCCTCGCCACGGGCAGTCAGGTCAGAAGGACCTCAGCTCACCAAGTCCACGTCGCCTCAGCCCTCCAAACCCGATACCCCCGTTCCTAGAGAACTGGTTCGAGATTCTGGTCGTAGGCTCCAAGCAGGATCCCTCTGTCCGCAGTCATCACCGGCGGCCTGAGCTACTTCCTGCACACGCCATCCCTGATAGCACAGAGGTGAGCAGCACAAACGCCGAGCCCACCAAGAAGCAGAGACGCTGCCGCCGAGCTCGCCGATCGGCCACCCGCGACTTGCCCGAGCTCGGGGGCAAATAAGAGGTAAGCTCGGCCGAAGTCAAGGCTTCCCTACTTTCAGTTCAATCCCCCCTATCTCCCGAGCTCCTAGCAGTCCCAATGCCTAAAGACTTCAAGCTCCCCCCTCTTGACAAGTACGACGGGTCGTTCGACCCAAATGATCACGTAGATGTCTTCCAGTCGCAGATGCACCTAGCGAGAGCCAGTGAGTCGTGCATGTGCGTGGCCCTTCTCCACCACTTTCAAAGGAGTAGCCCGCACATGGTACCGGAACCTGGTGCCCGGATCAATAAGAAGTTGGGCGCAGTTCGCGCAAGCCTTCACATCCCACTTCGTTACCAGTAAGCGGTGCCCGCAAACTGAAGAAAGCCTCCTCAACATAGTGCAGAGAGAGGGAGAATCCATCCGGAGCTATGTCAAGCGGTTCAATGACGCTTGCATGCAGATACCGCACTTGAACCCCGCCGTGCGCCTCGCAGCAGCCAAGAAAGGTGTGACACACAAAGAGTTCAAATGGCACATGGTCATCAACCAACCAGCGACCATAACCGAATTTCTTAAGCTAGCGGACAGGTTCATAGCCACCGAAGAGGAGATCAACCAAAAGGGCGAGGGTGCACCCGAAAAGAGGAAGAGGGAAGGAGAGCCTTCCAGTCAAGGGGACAACCGAAAGAAAAAGGATGCAGCTCGGGGGGCAAAGCCGAGTCAATTGTTTCGAGCTCCTATAGCAGACCAAACTGATTACACCCCACTGAGCGTGAAGCGGGTCGAAATCCTGACGGCGATCAAGGACGCCCCGTATGTGAAGTGGTCACCCCGTTTGAAGGGAAATCCCAATGAGAGAAATAAGAACCTGTACTGTAGCTTTCACAGAGATCACGGTCATAGCACCGAAAATTGTAAAAACCTCTGCGATGAGCTTGAGGAGCTCATCCGTCGCGGATATTTAAGGAACTTTGTACAAAATAATAATAATAATAATAATAAAACAAATCGGCAAGGGAGCACGGTAAGGAGGCTCCCGAGTTCAACAGCAGGCCGGCCGAATAGTCACAAAGGCAGCCTCCAGAAGAGAGGCCGGTTCGGGGCACCATCCACATGATAGTGGGAGGTTCGATCGTCGCGGGTTGTACCTTAGCAGCAGCTCGGACATCAGTTCGTAAAGCCGCCCAGGAAGAACAGAATCCTCCGAAGCGGCCGAGGACAGAAGAGCCAATTTTCTTCACGGAAGATGATGCGCGAGGGGTCCACTACCCCCACAATGACGCACTCGTGATAAAGCTGAGAATCAACGACTTCGAGGTCAGGCGCATACTCGTTGACTCGGACAGCCCAGGCCGGTTGAGCACGAGGCTCCCAGCTCGGGTGAGACCGAAGCTCCCAGGCCGGTCGAGTCCGAGCCCTGTGAGGTAGCAGCCAATGTGGCATCTCTCCTAGTTCGGACAAGCGCGAGCTGGGATGAGGAGCCCTGGATCCTTCACGTAGATGGCTCCTCGAACCAACAGGGCAGCGGGGCCGAAATAGTTCTGCACGGCCCAAGTGGCACGAAACTGGAGTACGCGCTACGCTTCGAGTTCGCGACATCTAACAATGAAGCGGAGTACGAGGCGTTGATAGCTGGACTAGCTCTAGCCAGAGAAATAAAAGCCAAGCACATCGTTATCTGTAGTGACTCCTAGCTCGTGGTCAACCAGGTCACCGGCGAGTACGAAACTCGCGAACCAAATATGATCGCCTACTTAGCCAAAGTCAGAGAGGCCCTGCTCAACTTCCAGTCACACTTTATCAGCCAAATCCCAAGGTCGGAGAACGCTGAGACCGACGCCCTGTCTAGATTAGCCAGCACTAGAGACATCATCATGAGAACCGTGTACATAGAGGACTTGCCTCGGCCTAGCATTCTCGGGGGGGCAGAGGAGGTCGCTCCCGTCGCTCAAACAGAGTTGAGTTGGATTGACCCGCTCGCGAGCTTCTTGCTACGCAAGACCCTCCCTGCAGATCGCAATGCAGCCAGAAGGGTGCAGCGCCAGGCAGCCAAATACGTCATGATAAACGAACGGCTATACCGGAGATCTTACACACTCCCCTACCTATGTTGCTTGCGACCTACCGAAGCCGAGCTCGTACTCTGCAACACTCATGAGGGATTGTGCGGTGGACACTTGGAGGGCAAAGCCCTCGCCCAGAAGGCACTTCGATAGGGGTATTATTGACCAACAATGAAGACAGATGCTATTGAGCTCGTTAGAAAATGTGACAAATGTTAGAGGCATGCCAATATTCACCACCAACCCGCTGCCGACCTCAAATATCTCACCAGCCCGTGGCCCTCTGCACAATGGGGCATCGATCTACTCGGGCCATTCCCGCCAACAACAGGTGGGAGGATGTTATTTTGGAAGAACATCGTGTGCCGCTTCGGATTACCTCGGGTATTGATTTCTGACAACGGCAAGCAGTTCGAGGACATCAAATTCCAAGACTGGTGCCAAGAACAGAGCCATCCTCCGTGGACTAAAGGCACGATTGGACCGAGCTAAAGGATTGTGAGTGGATGAACTACCCAGTGTTCTATGGGCTTATCGAACCACAGAGAAGACCGCCACAGGAGAGAATCCCTTCAACCTCACCTACGGCACTGAGGTAGTCATCCCAGCTGAGATTGAGGTTCCCTCGCTACGACTGGAAGCATAGGATGACAAGGCAAGTGAAGATGAGCTACGTACCAACCTCGACCTACTCGACGAGGTAAGGGACCTCGCATATATCAGGACTGCAGCTTACCAACAAAGAGTAGCTCGGTACTATAATGCAAGGGTCAGGAAGCGGAATCTCCGCGTCGGCGACCTGGTCCTTCGTAAAGTTATGGTACCTGAGCCCGGCACTGGCAAGCTCGGACCGAATTGGGAAGGGCCCTACCGAGTTAAACGGGTGCTCGGGGAAGGAACATATGAGCTCGAAACCCTGGAAGGGAAATAAGTACCTCGGGCATGGAATATTGTCAACTTAAGGCAATTTTACCTGTAACAATTGAGTAGACCATGAGTCACTCTCAAAACCTAAGGGCCAAAATGCCGAGCTAAATGTCGAGCTAACACGACCTCGGCACAACAAGACCCAGTCGCCTCTATGGCATGGGCAAACTTCAAGGGCAGACTATAAGTCACCCCCT